GTTCCTGCTACAACACAGGTCACTGAAGATGTGGCCATGACTATGCCCAAATCCTTGGTGGATTCTGCAGGGCCTGGCCCACAGAGGCAAATGACAGTGGCAGCAAAAGAAGACACCATCCAGACAACATGTTGATGGGAAAATTGGGCACTTCTTGCCTTCTAGGAAGGAAGTCAGTGGCAGAAAACTGCAGAGAATAAAGCACAGAGCCACATGAACACACAGTGGACAACAGGTAGCAGTGCTGGAGGGGACAGGAGGAAAGTGAAGCCAGGTATAGTCTCAGGGTTGGTACAGGTAGAAAGACCCACACCAAGGCCACACAGCTTCACCTGCCTTTGTTCAGAGACTGGAGAGTTAGAGGGAAACTGTCTTGGTGTCTCTGCTACATCCCACCTTAGGAGGCCTAGAGACATCAGCAACTGGATGCTCTGCCAGCCAGCACAAGCTTGTTTCCACAGCCCTTGAGTTCTATTCCCTCCTCTGCTCTTACACTGTAATTGATGGAGATACAATGATGGCAAGCCTGGCTTTGGGAGGTGGCCAATCAACACTCAACACAAGCCGAAACAAAAAACACATATCACACCCAACAGGGGGAGCCCTTCTGGTTCATCAGTGTTCCCCACCCCCTTGCAGGAGGAAATAACAGCACACTAGACAGACAGACAGACAGAGGGAGCCCTCTGGGTTCACGATTGCTTCCCCTACCTCCTACACACAGACACAGACAGAGACACAGACATAGACACACACACACACACACACACACACACACACACACCAGCCCCTGCAAATGGACTCCTCACTAACATCAAGGACCCTGAGCCTCCTGGAATGTTTGGTCTTCTTTGCATCAGCTGTAGTTCTCCAGGTTCCAAAGCACATGGTCCACAAAAGGAAGCATGTCCCTTGCTACCTAGGGTGTGGTCCTTTAAGGACAGCCGGAGATGGGCCAGGCAGAAGGACAGGAGTATCTGCCCTTTTATAGCTGATTAAGCTCCTCCTTGGCCACAGTCATCCTCAGTGGTAGAGAACAAGGATAAAGAGAGGCAACGGAGTGGCAGGGGACAGAATGGACAGGCAGCAGCTACAGGTGGCTGACCCTGGATGCTAGAGGATGGCTTGATCCAAACAGATCAGCAGTGGCCGTCCAAGAAGGGCTGGCAGGGGCTCATGCTGCCCCCTGCTCAGAGCAGGTCAGAGAGGGTCTCTGAGAAAAGGTTACAGTGAGCCCCAAGAATCCTATTTTTTAAAACATGCATCCCTTTCTTTTCATAGGTGAATAACTGGATAAAGTGAGCTTTGTTCCTCGGTCTGACAGGCTGGAACTGGCTGAAATGTTCATCCATGAAGACACTGTCTAGTAAAACTCCCCCTCAGCAAACTATACTCATTATCACCTGTGAGGTCCATTCAGACTCCAAGGGCAAATGCCACCATGAGCCCAAAGCCACTTCAAGATGGGGTGATACATCAAACCTTTCCAGAGAGCATCACTGGGAACTAATTTTATTTGTTAATTGCCAAAGTTCAGAGGGACTCTAGATATTTAAAAAAAAAAAAACCTGGAAAACTAAAAGCCTGAAATAAGCAGTAATGCATCTTTGCTCTTGTCAAAGAACAGCTTCATCTGTGTTTATATAATGAGACCGTCTGCAAACAGGCTCGGCCAAGCTGGAGCAGAGACAATACTGAACTGTGAGTAAACAGTGTTCATCTCAGACTGGCTGGAAGCAGACATCGCTCCACACAGCAAACCTTTCAGGACACTTGTGAGCCTTTTCTCTTCTGAACATCAACAGCAGGGTTTTTTTTTTTAATACACACACACACACCACCTAATCTTTTTCTGGATAGAAAGGTGGGTGGTGACTTTTGTTTCATTGCATATTGTTATATTTCCAAACTTTTGGGAAATAACCTGTACCCTTTTGCTTCTATAAGTAAAAGTCAACTTTTTAAGAAGATGGAATAGTTTCTTCTTTTAAAGAAGAATATACATGGCTAGGTGTAGTAGTAGATGTCTGTAATGCTAGCACTCTGGAGGCAGAGGCAGGATGAGCATGAGCTCTAGGACAGCCTGGACCAAAAACCAAAACAAACAAAAAAGGTGGAAGGGGGAAGGTATGTATTGTTGTGAGCCTTGTTATACTCTAATCAGAAGTTCCAACTCCAGCTATCTTACTGACATAGAAGGTAATGTTTTGGGTAGGAACTATTATTAAATCAATAATTCAAAGCCAGTGATTACAGCTGGGGAAAGGGCTTGGCCACAAGAGTCTCACAGACTCAGATCAAACCCCAGGCCCAAAGTATACTAGCTTCAAAAGTTTGAACATGTTTCAGAACCACTTTGAGCCATAGTTTGTTTGTGCCTGTGTAAAAAAGTCATCTGTGGGGACTAAAGGATGCCCTGGCATGTAAGAGACAATGCCCATGAAGGACACAAAGCCATGGTTTCAAACAAACAAAAAAATTCAATCTCACTCTGTTTCTGCAAAGCTTGACAAATGCACTCAAATGCAGTGGCTGATGGGAAATAATTTCATGTGAAAACAGTGCACATAGATTTTCAAGGCAAAAATCCATATTTAAATGTGCTTATGACTAGCCACATCCATCTTTGCTTCTAGACATCCAGGGAGGGTGGAGGAGAGGAGATGGGGGTAACTGGCAGTATACCTGAGAGGTCTTCTCCAAACTATGCAGGATGGATGAATACAAACAGCATAAACAGTAACTTCAGTTATTTCCCTTAAGTAGGTATGTTCATGTACAGATAAATAGAAGAAAAAAAAGCCAACTGCATCTGTTTTAGGTCAGAGGTACAGGCTTTATAACCACTGTGTATTAAATGTGGATTCATTGCTTGGGATGCCAATATATACTAAGCAATCAATATGACTCATCAGTTCAGGAAATGTATAGAAATATAAGATGCCGGAAAGAAGGGAAATGCACTATCTACTAACTCTCCTAAATTTATGGTTGAAATGATTACCACCATTCAACCAACATCCACAAACACATGGTGTGTGTGTCAGGAAATCAGACCGTTTCTGAGTTCAGCTTCCAGGGCTCAAGAATCAAATCACTGTGGTGGCTATTGGATTGCTTGATTCAGAGAGAGAAGGAAAAGACTGGGAAACAGGGACTGTGCCTGTTGTCATTGTGTTACTTCCACTAACTGCGCCAACAGGGACTTGGGATTTGACTGCGTTGTGACTGGGAGATGAGGATTGGGGGCAAGGCCAGTGCAACTGTCAATCTGTTCTCACTTGGTGAACTTAGCTGCACAAACCATCCTCTTTATTAGCTTGTTCTTGAATTATTTATTACCCTCCCCACCCCACCCCCACACACACCCTGAGGGAGAGAAGAGAATTCTTGCTGCTGACCCGCTCTGCTTCAGGAAGCAATGTAGTGATCACCAAGTCTGAAGGAGTTTGGGGTGCTCTCGGGGTCTGCCACCATCCAAAGCCAAATCAGGAAGAAACAGCAAATTAAGTATTAGCCTTCAAAAATGTGTCTCCTTCTCCAAATCCAAAGAAGCCTGGAAAGTTCCTTTAGAATAAGGGAGCAGATCTCTGCTGCATATTTGGGCACTGTCTACCCTGCGTCCCTTTTTATCCTAAGCCTGGTAGTTTCCTTTTTTCCTTAGCAATTGCCAACAGCCTCAAATCCCACCATCTGCCATAGATTGGACTTGCCATTCCAGGGCAGACAGGACAAATCCCATGACATCTAAGCAGCAGAACTTTTTATATCAGCCCCAAATTCCTACATCGGATCCCCTCTCTCTTATGTCTACAATCCTAAGTCAACTGATAAGTGATTACTCGACCTTAGAAAGAGGTAGAAGGTTAGATGTGATCTACAGGGTCTTTTCCTGGTCCAGTGGTTAGAAGTCCCTTCTGCCTCCCCAGACATTCTCGATCTGCTCCTTGTCACAGCCTTCCAGGAGGAGATAGAGGCTTCTGTTTTAAGACAAGCCTTCTCACACTAGAAATCACTCAGACAAAACACCAGCATCTCAACTATTCCCCATTGTCCTTCTGGGTCATCTTCTGTTGTACACAAGCTCTCCGAGGCACCCCAGAGACTCTAGGAACTGGTTTCAGAGCCCCTCCCATCACCCCAGCCTGCTGGAAGGTCAAGGCTGTCAAAAGTGGGTATCAGGTACTGAGAAGTTGGTCCTTCTGACCATCTTCCTCCGAGTGAGACTGGGGACCTTTAGCCAGCCTCAGAAGGAATCTAAAGGGTCAAGGGCTTGTGAAATGTGACACAGTCCACAGTCTACCTGCTCCTTCCTCCTTATTCCTCATCATGAGTTCCACACCACACCACACTTGGTGACCTAGAACCCATCTGCTCTCCACGCTGGGGCGGAAGTTTGTGCCCTAGGGATGACGGGACCTGACCAGTTCTACACCACCTGGAACCTTGTTTATCCTAGACTTCCTCCATTTCTTCTTGTCCATCTCTCTTGATCTCGCTATTCCCTCTTTCAAGGCACTCTAGTGGTGTTTCCACTTTGTCTCAATTATGTCTAAACGCAACCCACCACAGATGCTGACATTTTAAATATTTAGTTGTTATAGTTACTTGACTAATTGCCTGGGCCACCAGCAGTGCTTCTTCCCTCCCGCTGGAGGAGGGGGGTGGTGGCATGCAGATGGGTTTGGAGCCCAGGACACCTTGCCACACCCAGGAGAGTGCCGGGACGCAGAGGCTCCGTGGGACATAGGTTTCAGCCAGGGCAAGAAGGTGTACAGGGTAGCTGTGTCGCCTGGCCTCTGGATGCCAAGAACTGTGTCTCCTGCCCCGGGACAAGGAAGGAGGATGGACAAGGTCCGCCCAGCAAATGCTTCTATCTGGCCTCACAGTCCGCCCACGCCTTCAATGTATAGAAGGCAGGGGAAATGGGGAAACGATGTGGGTATGGGGGGAGGGGGTCGAGGGGAATGAGAGTTAGAAACCGGTTGCAGGTTACTCACGTGCCAGATAGCGAAGAAGATGAGCGCAGCGCAAAGCACCAGGGACAGCATATAGCAGAAAGCAGCGAAAGTGAAGGCCATGGTTGAGGACCCGGATCCCACCACACACACAAAGCCGTTGCTCCCTGGAGACCAGTATCCTCCCAAATGAGGGCCAGAAAAATGTCTCGTCTACACGCTCCGGCAAAACCAACGACTAGGAGCACGCATAAGCCGAGGAAGAGTTGAGGGTCAGTGAAGCCAGCAAGATTCAGGCAGGACAGGAGACCCACAGGTACAGAAGGTCGCTGACGGCAACTGTTCCCCTAGCTGAAGAAGAAATCTAACCAGTACAGACTACCTGCAGACCTGTGTTAACTAGAGATGCTCTTGAGACCAACAGGCATTGAGTGCGAGGACTCCACAAAGGACCCGGCGAGGAGGAGGTCCCGTCCGCTGGAAAAAGCCCTCTCTTTTCGCTCAGGAGCCAAAGAGGTGAGGCGAGCGCGCCACACCTGGTGCAACCGGCCAGGTGCCAGGGCTCCAAGGTCCCCAATCCCACAGCCCCTCGGTTTCCCTGCACAAGTCTTTAGTTGGCGGCCAGGGCGAGCCAGGTCCCGTTAGCCCTGCACCCTGGGCTGTGGTCTTCCAACGCAGCTATGCGCACCAAGATGCATCCCGCCCCGGCCCCAACCGCGTCCCCGGGCCGCCGGCTTCCGTAACCCGGTGCCTGGGAAACTGGGTCGGACCGGGGGCGGCGTGGGCTCCAGCCTAGCGGGCCAGCTCCAGGCCGGGCGGCTGCTGCGCGGGTTTCCGGCCAAGTGATGCTCACGGCTGAGTGGTGCTCCACCTGCTGCTACTGTCGCGGGCGCAGCTAAGACTGCGGCGCTGGGACCCCTCCCTCGAGGCGCCCCACCCTCGCCGGCTCCCGAGAGCGCCGTCCCCGAGGGCGGAGATTGCGGCGATGGGGGCCAGGGAGGCGGTGGTGAGGAGACGCGGTGCGCGCCCGCCTCTCGAAGGAAACTTGCAGCTCCGCGCGCGCGGAGGCGGGAGGGGCAGGGACTCTTTAAGCACGTGCGCCCGGAGCGAGTGGGAAGGCGGAAGGCTATGGCGATGACGCGTCCGCCGCCCCTAGGCTTCCAGCAGTTTTGTGCACGCCAAAGCGAGAAGTGAGGGCACTTGGTCTCGGCAGCGGATTGGCTCCTGTTGTTTGGGTCCTGATTTCCCAGACTGTAAGGTACTCCGGATCTGGGAATGCCTTTTCGGCTCTACCCTGAGCCCCTCCCAACACCACCAGACCCTCCTCCAGTGCAGAATCCTGCTTTAGAGCTCACCCCTGACATCCTGAAGGATCCTGTTCCATCTGACACTGGGGTTGAGGGAACCTGGCGCCATAAATAAGGCAAGTGTTTCTGTGATGCTCGGTGGCATTATTTAGAGCATATACTGGTTATCACAGACTCTTCCCTACCTCCAACTTTTTTAGCATCAAATAGAACCTGCTTTTCTTATCAGAAAAGTAGCAAGGAGTACCTTCAAACCAAACGAGACCTAGCAGGGAGCATTTGGTGCCCAGTTAATCCATAAGTGGTAGGGACCATTATGTTCACACTCTTGCCACAGTGTTTTAGCATCTTAGAAGATTGTATCATAATCACTCAAAAAAAAAAAAAAAAAGACTCCAATCCTGAAGACAGAACTTGGATTTCAGATGAGTCAGTCTAGAAAGCAAGAAGAAATGACCTGAAAGATGACTAGCAAGTCACTTGGGAATCTAGATATACACCGTACTTTGGAGTGAATGTCAGAGCATCAAGTATGTCCAGAAGACAGTGTTTCACTCACATCGACCACTGGATCTAACAGGATTTTGTCTCCTCTTCTGCCACCTCTCCATGATGGTCCCTAAGTCTCAGGGAGAAGGGGTGTGACATAACTGTTCCAGGTGTGGCTAGCTTAGCATTCCACTGCACATTGACAGACAGGTTGTGTGTTTCTGCATTAACTGTCCTCCACTGCACAAAGAAACTTTTCTCATGAGATCTGAGAACTGTACTAATCTAGATATAGATACAAAGTTAAAGGGCAATTTGATACTATTTCCATTTAGCAAAATAATTGTAGTAAGCTGTCCTCTGGGTATTAACAATTCCCCAACCATGGATTCTTAGGCATGAGTTTCCTCCTGTGACAAGCCTTAAAACAAATCAGAAAGCAGCTGGTTACACTCATAACATTCATGCCACCGTTGCTCCCAGGGGCATCTCACCATATCGGTCATTGTTGTAGTTCATTGGGTTCACAGCTGGATAAGACTGTAGATGACTGACACACACCCAGAGATGCCTGCAAAGCAACTTCTGGTACTATGAAAGGCAGACATCAGGAAGGAAGCTCCCTAGTCAGTGCCAACTTGATTTCTTCATGCCCTGTGACCAAAGTTTCTTCAGCAACAATCTTATCATCACGTTCTAGTAGGTGACCAGGAGCAAATGACAATACCTTACACTCTTTGGGATTCTTTGAGTTACCCCTGAATTCTATAGGCCCTCCAAGTTAAACACACAAATCTAAAGGTGCTAGGACCCACTAAGAGTGAGAACATGCAGTGTTTGTCTTTCTGTGTCTGGAAGCCCCTTACTTAAAACATGTAATATACAAAGAAAAAGCATTCCCAGATGTTTCTGAAAACTTGGCTGCAATGATATGAGTACAATCTGAAGAGGGGATGACATGTTTCCCATTGATGCCATTTTTCTGAAGTATGAACAGTAAAGTTTAGTCTATTGCCTAAGATGTTATTCTCAACTGCACAAGACCAAAAGGGTTTAAATTTCTCATTTTAAATAAATTATTAAAATGCTGTATGTGATAGTTTCCTAGAAAATAAATATTTAACTCTCTTGATTTATAACATGTCAAGTAAGTTGCTTTCTTACATAAGTAGGTGTGTTTTTCATCCAGCTAATGGAACCATGAATTTAGATGGATGTTTGCTTGTATAGACACTATTATTTTTTAATGACTTTTGAGTACTTCATTTTAAAATGCCTGATTATGCTTACATGTTGGACAGTTTTAACATTTGAAGTATTATTTTCTTAGGCTTCTGAATTGTTTTTATCAACATCTTGCTTAATTCAGAAGATTTTTTCAAATGTATTATTGTATAAAAATTTTCTTCTGATTTTTAATCTACCTTTTGACTGATAATTATAATGTAAGAAATTAAACTCTAAGCTTTGATATAGTGTGATTGACATGCTGATGAATGTGTGCCTGAGTTATAAGGATTAATAACAACTTTTTAACCCTTGTAGATTCTTAGTTTAAGAGACCCTTATGACAAAAGAGATTCACAAGCAAAAACAAATAGAAATTTACTAATATGCATATTTCATATACCCATGGGAGACACACAGAGAATAAGGAGTTCTCAAAGAGGTGGCTTTGAAATTCTAGTTTATATAACATCTTCAAGTGACAGTATATTCCTTGATAAGTGACTAGGCAAAGGAAAAGGACATTGAGTATCCAAGTGTGGTGACTTGGGGGAAAGCAAGTAACAGGCAGATTGAGGAAAATGGAGCTTGTTTGGGTAGATGGGCCGATGAGGTCCAAAGGTACATGTGTGGTCAACCTGTTCTCCATGGTAGGAGAATGTGAACTTGTTCGAATTGGTTGGAGGGGAGTCTTCTGACTCTCTGAGTGTGTCCTGTCTTTAGGCAGGTGTGGGGGGGGGGAGGACAGAGTTCTCTTGCATATACCCTATCCTCACTGCTTTCAACTCAGCAATCTTTCCTGTTTAAGGTGATATATTTGGATCTCCCACACAGCCTTTTAAGAATTAATTCCAAGTGTCATACCTTTATGTCAGTAGCAATGGCGGGAAATGATGATTTGTTAAAATCATAAAAGTGTTTTGTATTGAAGATATGAAAAGTGCGTTACCTCTGTCCCAGTTCTCATGAGAAGGGCATTCAAAGGCATGTGGCAGACCCTCCCTGATGCAGCTAATTATAAGCATTACTGTGTCCTCCATAGATGCAGATGGCTGAGGTATGTGACTGTTAATAGAATGCTAATAAGTGTGTCCACAGTTGGTTGTCTCTCTATTCTGAGGTAGTTTTTAATATTTTATTGACAAATTCTTAAACTTGTAAATATTGAAACACTGCATTTACAATGTATTAAGGAATTGCAATGTGTAAACAATACATCTAAAGTAGCAATTATTAGGATCAGGGGACAATCATGATTTCAATATAGTGATAAAACTGAAAGGCACACAGCAGGGGGTGCTTTGTAATAAATACGTACATGGGAGGCCCATCTATCAGTGGCCCTTGTGACATCCTGTCATGGTTAGCTTGAATAAATGGGTTTAATTTAGAATTTAATTATTAATTGATTTTTTTCTACCATGCTCTGCAAAGGTCACCATACTGTTTACCAATCAGAACAGAAATCTTTCAATAGTGTATGAGTTGAGGCAGTTACACTAATGAATGTTGGCTAAATAAAGTATGAGGTGGAAAGCAGAATGACTTTAAAGACAACGGATTTCTCCACCTTAGAAAAAGGTTTCTCACTCAGCCAAACTCCTAGAATCCAGATGCAGAGGAGGAGTGATAAGAAAAGGGGTCAGGACTAGGCTACAGAAACCCACAGAGACAGCTGACCTGAATGAGGGGGATCTCATGGACCCCCAACTGATAGCTGGGAAACCAGCATTGGACCGACTCAGACCCCCTGAACATGGGTCTCAGTTAGAAGGACTGAGCAGTCTAAGGGACCTCAGACAGTGGAGCCAGGATGTATCCCTGGTGCACAAAAGGACTTTGGGAGGGAGCACATCCCCCATGGAGGGATACTCTATCTAGAGGCAGGAGGGAGGACCTAGTCCCCACTCCAAATGACTTGACAGATTTTGATGATCCCTCCTGGAAGGCATCACCCTCCCTGTGGAGAGGGGGGGATAGGATTGGAGGGCACATCGGGGTGCATGGTAGGGAGGGAGAGGGAACTGGTATCAATATGTAAAATAAGAAAAAATAATAAATATGTATATATATTTTAAAAAAGAAAAATACAGGCATATGCAGGAAGAAAGAAAGAAAGAAAGAAAGAAAGAAAGAAAGAAAGAGGTTTCTCTTTCAGACGACATCTGGGGGATGCCTGGAGTTGGAAGAAGAGA